AGTGAGGTTGGCCCAGGATCGAACATTATTTCGTTCTGCTGTGCATGGGGTCACTATGAGTCGGTTCCGACTCGATGGCACCTGACAACAACAACAGTATAAAGTAGCCTATTGTTTCTTTTTTGTTGTTTTAACATTTTTATTGTGAATTGAGTGATAGTTTTACTTGGGAGAACATGGGTTTACACTCATCCTATTATAATTTGTTTCATTGCTGATTACAATCCCTTCCATGCCTCACCATTCAACAGCATTTGTTTGTAGTCCCTCTTTTTTTTGGGAGGGGGGCGGGGTGTACACAGAAACACTCAGGAGTATTTTATTTAAACAAAGGGCACATTCTGCAAGCCTGCCTCCTGGTCGCCAGCACACAGCCTTTCTCTTTCCATGAGTCCTCAGCTGCTCTCTTTCTCCATGTCCTCATCTCTGCCTCCATCTCTGGTGTCACTGCTTCTCTGGATAGGGTCCCACATTCTGCTTGTGCTCTTATCCCTTGATGGTTCTAGGGTCCTTTGTTCCTGGAATGTAAGATTAACAACTCCTGCTTTGTGTTACAAAACTTTTATCCTTTATAATTGTGATAATTGCAGTTAGTCATGATAGCTGATTGCTTCTTGTCAGATGGAATTCAGTAAAATGACTCTTAGAGATCTTATTAAAATCATTGCATTTAATTCTAGTTCTAACACCAGCAAGTAAACACTTGGCTGTCTTTGTTCTGTTTGTCATGCCAAAGGACCTTCCATTGAGGCAGACCTCAGTGGATTTGAACATGTCCTAAAGAGGGGGAGGTAATGCATGTTGGATGTCCAACTGTAATAGCTGCTGTGATAAAAGAGCAAAGAGCAAAAGAGTTGAATTTTGCCTTGTATATCAGACCATCTTGGAACATTTTTAAACAATGAAATACAATAAATCTGGCCAGATATTGCATCTTGTTTATAGGATTTTGGTACCATCAAGTCGTCTGTAAGTCTAGTTAAAGATAATGGGTAGCACAGATTGCTTGAAATTCAAATCTAAATTAATCTGGTTTTTCCTACTTGTAGCATCTTACTACATAAATGTTCCTAGTTTCATCATCATCTTTCTCCTTTCTATTGGCTGTGGTATTAGAAATAGCAAAATGGCTACCTCATGGTAAAAAGCCTTTTCTGATGGACTCTGCCTGTACAAGTGGAGTTTCTTTTCATTCCTAGATTGTTAGGATCCATATGAGAGAGTGGAACTGTTAACTTTCTGTGACTAGAACATTGTTCTCCTATTCAATGTCGTCAGCTTCTTTAGAGGGGTGGGTTTGTGCTTTCTTCTGGTCCCCATTTAACCTAGCAGTAAATTTTGTAAGAAGATTAAAACGTTTGTTTTCCTTTGACTTTTTTAGCGAAACCTTGAAAGCCATTTGATATCCTCTGCTGAGATTCCAGGCCAGCCGGTCCCTAAGAACATCCTTCAGGTACTTGGACAATGTTGTAGTGAGACTGCCGAGTACTGAACTGTAATCCTTTGAACTGATGGTGTAATGTCCAGATTCAGGCCTTAGTGAATTAAATTGTTGCCTGGCAAACACGGGTGTGATGTTGCTGGTGGTCTGAACTGGGAGGATATAGCTAAGAAAATTGGACTCTGTAAGCCCTTGATTGTCAGTTTTCAGGCTTGTAATTCCTATGGAGTTTGAGAAAGTATCAAACCTTAATTTGTTGTACTAACTTAAAACAAATGTTGCCAGCTGAATTTTTAGAGAAATGTGTTCCAAGTATGCCAGTCCTTCAGTGGAGCCTGAGAAACACTCATCATTTGCTTTCCAAAAAGTTTCCCATAATCCATAGCCCCTGATTAGGAGAAGGAAGTAGGTTTGTTCACAGAAATATGCCTTTTCTGCCTTTAGGAACTTCTGGGTCCACCAGTTCAGAGACCTGCATCTTCCAATCTTCTGAGTGGCCTTATGGGGAGCTTGGAGCCAACAGCATCTCTACTGGGCCAAAGAGCATCCTCTCCTCCCTTGTCACATGTGTTCCAAACGCGAGCAGCCTCTGCAGACTACCTTCGCCCTAGAATATCATCACCAATTGGTAAAAAACCCTTGTGCATAAAGGCTTCTTCCACCCATGTATTGCATTCCCTCCATCCCTCTGTATAGGTTATAGTTGTCCTTTACAACTGGTAAAGATTTCAGATGGACACCCTTGAAGGGTTTAAAAGATGCTTATAAATTGATTATACGTTAATGGGAGAAAATATGTACTTTTTTTTCCTTTTTTGGTGGAGGGAAGGGGACTTATGAGGATTATCCAGCTGCCCTTCTAGGTGAGTTCATGCTGTGTTCATGGTATGTTGTTTAATTTACACCACCCTTGTTGAGAGTGCTCTAAATTGGTTGTCTTTTTTGGTAAATTTAATCATTAGACTTCTTAGGCTTTTCCTTGTTAAAAGTAGTGGCTCTCTCTAAGCTAGTGAAACTGTGTAACGCTCACCTAGAAGGTGAGTTAAACAGCTCTGCAGCTAGTTTGGGGCCCTAATGGCCCAGGGGTTAAGAGCTGTTGAACCCTACCAGCCACTTAGCCGGGGGTGGGAAAGGAGTGGCCGTCTCTCTTGGTTAACATTAACAGCCTTAGGAACTCTCTGGGGCAGCTTTACCCGGGCCTGTAGGGTCACTACAAGTTAGAATCAACTTAGTAACAATATGTTGGTTTTTCTTTGGTGCCTAATTCAGAATACGGCCAGATGATGCACTTCCAGGAAAGCAGTCATAGTAAAGTGCTTGTACAAAATTTCCTAGACCTTGCTGACCACCTGAAACTGCTGGCTGACCACTCTGACCCCTCCAGCCACATCCTGAGAGACAGTGTTTGAAATCACCCTTTCTTTCCAGAGCAGGGAGATGAATGGCAATAGTGTGGTCTCTGCTTTGGTACCAGCTGGTTTGGTCACTGGCTAGAAGAGCTCTTCCTCCCAGATAGAGGTCTTTGCTCAGAAAGGAGCTAAGCCAACTGCTTAGTGAGGATGGTCACCCCAAACACTAGTTGAGGTTCATGTACGACAGTGGAAGAGGGACTTCTGTCAGCCCAGTCAGTGATAGTGCCTCAGGGCTGTTACTCATCAATATGGTAACTTTCCCAACAGGTTTCACACCAGGACCGCAGCAGCTGCTCGGAGACCCTTTCCAAGGCATGCGCAAGCCCATGAGCCCCATCACAGCCCAGGTCAGGCCAAGCTCTTTCTCAAACTCAGTTTGCTGCTTTTCAACATTCTTGTTGCTTTTGTGGGATGGAGAATACTATAATGATTTTCTAGGAAGTGGTTTCAAACTAATTCAGTTTCAGTGAAGGCTAGAATATTCCTGTGCAACTAAAGTAGCACACAGTAAAAATCCTGCTTGGTTAACAGCAGCACAGGTAAGTCAGGTTTGTAGTGTCTGCTTTCCTCAGCTGCTGCTTAACCATAGCTTTCTATGACATGTTTGTATAAAGCTGTACAATGGCCTGGGGAGGTGTCTGACCTCTGACTTCACACAGTTCTGCCATCAATAGTCATTCCCACCACACACTCTACTTCTTTGCCGGGTTCCATAATTCATTGCAGTGACCACATAGAACTCAGACAAATACTCAAATTACGGGGTTTATTAGAGAAGTAACAGGTTACAATTCAGCTTCAGGAATGACTCAGGATCCAGTTCTTCAATGAGGTCAGCCTCTTCTCAGCAGTGTCTGCAGACATCTAGACCCTGTGGCCCCTGCACTTTGTCGGCAGGTGTTTCAAAGCTCTTTTAGCTCTGCTGATAGAGGCCCAAAGTAAGCTTCTGCCCAAAGGCACTCAGTTCTAGCTCTGTGGGTTGGCAATCCTACTTTCTCCAAATCAGTACTCAGAGATATCCCATGACACCAGCAAGCACTCAGTTTTCTCACTCTGTGAACTGGGAAACCCACCCACTATGTCTCATGCTCTTGGTTCTGCTGCCACTATTTCTCTGCTGCTGCTTGTTCTCTCTGGTGTCAAAACTCTCTGTCTCCCGGATCAAAAAAGTTCAGCACAGGAATCTTAGGTCCAAAGCATATGATATCCACAATTGGCTCTTCTGTCCTGATGGTAGTGAGATCGCCCTTTCTGGCTCTTGGATGGTGCATTTTAAACCTAGTGAGATGGCTAAACTGACCAATCCCCTTGTTAGGGTTCACACATCTTATTTACATGGTCCCACCCCTACAAGGGTGTCATGTACCCTATTTACATTACTTTAGAGCTGTCTAATGCCCCATGGTGAGCCACAAGCACATTTGCATAATTCTACTCAGTCATTCAAAGTAAGTCCTGGTGTGGCACTGTAGGATAAACACAGGGTTTCTAATGGTAAGGTCAGCAGTTCAAACCCACCATCCACTCCTTAGAAACCCTATACAGGGTTGCTGTGAGTCGGAACAGACTCAATGGCACTTATAACAGTATGACTAGAAGTCCCATATCACGTAATTCACTGCCCTACATAAGTATATTGTCTTCATTCTTCGGCTGACCCTACTCTGCTGCTCCTCTTCAGCAGATGAGCCAGCTAGAACTGCAACAGGCTGCTTTGGAGGGCCTGGCCTTGCCACATGACCTTGCATTGCAGACAGCAAACTTCTACCAACCTGGTTTTGGCAAACCACAGGTGGACCGAACCAGAGATGGATTCAGAAACAGGTAAGTCATTGATCCTACCCATGTTGGATTGACAAAGGCATTTTCCTTAGATTCATACACTGATGATCTGATTATGTTGTGCAGCACATGGCAGGGAAGGCCTTCCTAATAAAGAAGATTGAATTCATTCTACTGCAGGGGCTTCACTTTGCAGTGTGATGTTTTTGTTTGTGTTCTTGATTTGTAAAGCACTGTTTTGGTTTCAGTTTGTTAACTGGTAACGTAGAAAGAATGCTTCCTGCCCTATTTACCTCACTGTCCCTTTACCTTGGTGTCTCTGGACAATGTAGTATGTATACCTGGTAGTCACTGGTAAGATTTGTGACTTTCAGAGTACTTCCACTCATGTTGGATCTTGGCAACAGCCCTCTGAGGTTGACGGAGTCAACTATTTTACTGTGACTGAAACTTAGGTTTTAAAGTGTGACTTAACTCAAAACTAGCAGTAAAGCCAAGTCAGTGTCGGTGGAACTTTTATGTTTTGCATCAGATGTTTAGCCTCTCAGGGCCTCCCTGAACACCCTGTGTATCTCCCTGTCACTGCTCCATTGTTTTCTTATACTTAACCACCTTCTAGCCTACTCTGGGTTTACCGACTCCTGGCCTGCAGAAGCTCCTTTTCTGCAGACACTAGAATGCAGTCTCCAACAGGGCAGGGGTTTTAGACTTGTAACCCCAGTACCTAGCACAGAGTCATCTTGTAACTTCTTGTTGCTCACCCCCAGTTTAAATTGTGTGCTGTCATTCCTTTGGCCCTTCATTTTTCCCATTGTGCCTTGGTCAGTGTCACCCGCACTGGACTAGAGCTCTTGGGAAGGTTGGAAATGTCTCACTAAGCTTTAGTGTATGCCTTGGCGTATACTGGGCACCTATTAAGCACTGGGGAAAGTGAACTGGATAAGAGAAAGGAGAAGTTGCATTCCTAGGCTGACCTAAAACATCTGGTTTTAGGACGTAGATTTCAGCAGCTCAGTACTCACACTGATACTTGGTTTTTTCACAGGCAGCAGCGAGTGACCAAGTCGCCAGCATCTGTGCATCAAGGGAATTCCTCTTCCCCCGCCCCATCTGCCTCCATCACAAGCATGGTCAGTGACCTTTGTGAATGACCTTTAGATTTTTCCCTATTTGGTTATGTCACACCACTTTGCCTTACATATCCCCTAGTGCTTTCCATGGGAATAACATCTTTCACAGCTACCTACTTGTTAGGGCTTCTTCTTTCAGTACAATCTGGTAGGAATCTAATGAAGCCCTTGTACTGGAGAAGGTGTGTTCCAGCAGGTAAAGGAGCGTGGCCAGGGCACAGGAGATGTACTATGTTCAGTTCAGACAAATGAATAGTTGCTTTGGGGAGAAGACAAGAGTGAAGGACAGGATGTGAGGCTAGAAGGCTGACTGGGGTCAGATCTTGGAAGGTCTAGTGGCACATGCTGGGGAGTTGACATATTCATATTCTGTTCTCTATAACTGAAAACGAGGTGTATATATAGATATATTTAAAGCTTTTGTGCATTGAGTGATAGTTTACATGGAAGAACATCAGTTTTACACTCATTCTATCATATTTCGTATCATTGCAATGATTATAATCCCCTCCATAAATCAACAGTATTTGCTTCTACTTCCTCTGTTTTTTTGTTTGTTTTTTTTTTGATGTACACAAAAACACTCAGGCATATACAATCATTTAAATAACATATGTACCATCACTATAAAAGAGTTTCACTCCCCAAAGACCTGGATCGCTTAGTTGAGGCTGATGGACAAGTATAACTATGTATATTACTATGTGCTTCAGGACTCCAGGTTGGTCTGCAGGTTGGTCTGCTCACTAACGACCTTAAAGATAAAGTCTAGAAGAAAAATTTATCTGTAGCTAATTCTTACCCTGTCTCCCATCAACAAGGACTTAGAGTTGTGTAATGAAAAAAGGAACATGCATAATACAGTCATCAAAGTAGTCACACACAGTGAAGAGATGGAAATGTCCCAAAATGGTGAACCCTAATGAGAATTATCTGGTAGCCAAGGGAGAAAGGTAACCTAGGTTCTGGGGTTGTCTCTGAAATGTCCTTTCCCAAATGTCCTAATGCCAGGCTGGGGAAACGGCTGACGCAAAGGCAGTATCAGCAGGTCCACCACCATCACAGACACAGGTAGGCTGAAGTTTTGAGCTGTAACTACCTTTGTTCTAGAGCTTAATTCAGGTTTTGATGAAAGTAACCTGTGTGACCCTTACTTTCAGCTCCATGCTGTTTATTTCTCCTAGCAACTGGAAATCAAAATGTTGGAGTTGGCTCTGCCCTGTTGCAGACGTAGGGACTCTCAGTTTATTGATCATCATGACTGTTTAATCCTGACTAGATAGGAAGAGACACTTAGACAGTGTGTTAATTCTTAAGCATTTTTCTTTGCAGCTTTCTCCTTCGTTCACTCCTACCTCAGTGATTCGTAAGATGTATGAGAGCAAAGAGAAAAGCAAGGACGAACCAGCATCTGGAAAAGCAGCAGCTGCTGACAGTAAAGAGGACACTCAGAAAACCAGTGAAGGTACTGTAGGGATGAGAGGCACTGTCCCCAAACATGTTTGATGGAGAGAGCACAGGCTTGACCAGATTGTTGGGAAAGCCCTGGGCAAGACCATGTTCTGTGTCTGACAGTGAGATGTGTTGAGTCAGGTCATAGTGACCCTGTATAGGATTTCCAAGCAACAGTTGGTAGGTTTGAACTGCCAACCTTGCAATTTAAACTGACCTTGCAGTCCAGTGCTCAAAATTATGATCTAAGAGTGTTGTGAATATTAAATAGGGAAAATAAGGTTCATTTTGGAACTTAAATTTTTTTGTTGTTGTTCAGTACCATCAAGTTGGTTCCAACTCATAGCAACCTTATGCACAACAGAATAAAACACTGCCTGGTCCTGCGTCATCCTTATAATCATTAAGCTTGAGCACATTGCTGCTGCCACTATGCCAGTCTACCTCGTTAGTCATACTGTTTTTCCCTGACTTTCCACTTTACCTAACATGATAATCTTTCTCCAGGGACTGATCCCTCCTGATATGTCCCAAGTATGTATGAGAGACAAAGTGTTGCCATCTTGGCTTCTCAAGAGCATTCTGGCTGTCCTTCTTCCAACATAGATTTGTCACCTTGGAAGTTCATGGTATTTTTAATATTCTCCTCCAACACCATAAGTCAAATGCCTCAACTCTTCTATGGTCTTGCTTATTCACTGTCCAAGTTTCGTATACATAGGAAGTTATTGAAAACACCAAGGATTGAGTTAAGTGCATCTTAGTTCACAAACTGATGTCTTTTGATCTTGAAACACTTAAAAGAAACTGTGCAGCCGATTATCTAATACATCATTTGATTTCTTGACTACTGTTTCCATGAATGTTGATAGTGGATCCAACCAAAATGAAGTCTTTAGTATCTTCAGTCTTTTCTCCATTTCTCATGTTATTATTTATTGATCCAGTGGTGAGGATTTTTGTTTTCTTTACATTAAGGTGTAAACCATATGGAAGACTGTGGTCTTTGATCCTTATTAGTAGGTATTTTAAGTCCTTTTGCTTTTAGCAAGCAAGGTTGTGTCATTTGCATATCACAGGTTGTCAATGAGTCCCCCTTCAATCTTAATCCCATGTTCTTCTTCATAGAATCCAGTTTCTCAAGATGATTTGCTTAGCAGACAGGTTGACTAAGTATGGTGGAAGGATACAACCTTGGTACACACCTATCCTGATTTACACCATTCAGTGTCCCCTTGTTTGAACAACTGGCTCTTGGTCTGTGTAGTTTCCTCATGAGCACAATTAAGTGTTCAGGAATAGTCCTTCTCCAAATGTAGTCCATATCTTGTTATGATCCACACAGTCAAAAGCCTTTGCAGAGTCAATAAAACACAGGTAAACATCTTCCTGGTACTCTCTGCTTTCAGCCAAGATACACCTGACATCAGTAATGATATCCCTTGTTCCACGTCCTTAAACTTTTGGCAGTTCCCTGTCAATGTACGCTTGCAGCCATTTTAAAATTATCTTTAGCAGAATTTTACTTGCATGTGATGTTAATGATACTGTCTGATGATTTTCACATTCTGTTGGGTCACCTCTCTTTGGAATGGGCAGTCAGTTGGCCAGGTAGCTATGTTCCAGATTTCTTTGCATAGGTGAGTACCTGCAGTGGTGCATCAGTTTGTCCCAGAGTTGTGTTCTTTGCTAGTGCTTTCCGAGCACCTTGGACATCTTCCTTTGGACATGTACCTTTGGCTCTTGATCACATGCTGGAGTTTGTAATTAGTTGAACATTGTCCATTTCTTTTTGGTACAGTGACTGTGTGTATTTCTTCCATCTTCTTTTGATGCTTTCTTCATCATTCAATACTTTGCCCACTGTTGTTAAGTACCATGGAGTCAGGTCCAACTCATATAGTGACCCTATATAGGGTTTCCGAGGCTATAAACCTTTACGGGATCAGGCCGCCTCATCTTTCTCCCGCCAAACCACTGGTAGTTTTGAACTGCGACCTTGAGGTTAGCAGCCTGATTCGTTACCACTACGCTACCATAGAATCCTACAGTACTGCAAGTTGAGGCTTAAATTTTTTCTACTATTCTTTTAGCTTGAGAAATGCTGTGCACATTCTTCCTTTTTGATATTCTAATACCGGGTCTTTGCACATTTCATTATGTTACCTGACTTTGTCTTCTCAAGCTGCCCTTTGAAATTTTCTGCTCATGTCTTTTACCTCATTTCTTGCATTTGCTTTAGCATCTCTAGAGGGCAAATTTCAGAGTCAGAGTCTCTTCTGAAGTCAATTTTTGTCTTTTTCTTATTTCTTGACTTCCTAATGACTTTTTGCCTCCTTTCTGTATGATATTCTTGGTGTTATCCTACAACTCTGCTTGCTGGTCTTCAATCATTAGTGCCTAATACATCAAACAAATCTGTTCTTGAGATTTCTAAATTCAGGTGAGATATGTTCAAGGTCAAATTTTGGCTCTTGTGGACTTGTTTCAATTGTCTTCATCATCATCCTGAACTTGCATATGAGCAACTAATGGTCTGTTCCACAATCTGCTCCTGGCCTTGTTTTGGCTGATACGCAGTTTTTTCACCATCTCTTTCCACAGATGTAGTCAATTTGACTTCTTTGTATGCCATCTGGTGAGGTCCATGTGTAGAGTAGCCTTTTGGTGGTGGTGATGTGCCATGGAGAGTCTGTTCTGACTCATAGTAACCCTGCATAGGGTTTACGAGGCTGTAAATCTTTGTGGGAGCAGAAAGCCTCATCTTTCTCCCATGGGGCAGCTGGTAGATAGATTTGAACTGCTGACCTTTAGGTTAGCAGCTCCACTCATAATCCTCTACACTAACAGAGATCCTCTCTAGTAGTCTTTTATGTTGTTTTTAAAAAAGGTATTTGCAATAAAGAAATCATTAATTAGTCTTGCAAAATTCTGTCATTTGATCTTAAGCATCATTTCTATAGCCAAAACCATATTTTCCAACCACTAGTCTTGCATTTCTAAACTTTTCATTCCAATCACTAGTAATTACCAATACATCTTTATTGCATAATTTCAAACTGAAGAAGTTGGTAGAATTTTTCAATTTAATTGTCACTGACGTTAGTGTTTGGTGCATAAATTTGAATAGTGGTATTAACTCATCTTCCTTGTAGGTGTGTGTATATTATCTTATCATCACAGCATCATACTTCAAGATACATCTTGAAATAAGTTCTTTTTGATGATGAGTACGACACCATTTTTCTTTGTCATTAAACCATGATTGTCAGATTCAAAATGGTCAGTACCAGTCCATTTCAGCTCAGCCCTGCTGAGAGTATGTCTTTGTGTTTCATTTCATTTTGACAACTTTCAGTTTTCCTAGAGTCGCACTTGTACGTTGCATGTTCTGATTAATGGATGTTTACAGCTCATTCTCCTCATTTCGGGTTGTTCTTCATCAAATGAAGACTCTGAAAGCTTTATTATGTTCATTTCATTATGGTCAGCTCTACTTTAAGGAGGCACCTCTTCCCCTGTCATATTCTGAGTGTCTTTTATCCTGCACAGCTCATCTTTTGGCACTGTATCTGACAACATTCTGGTACTATTCATGTTTTCAGTATTCAATACTCTGGTACTATCTGACACTGTTCCATTGCTATCCATAAGGTTTTCAGTGGCTAAACATTCAGATCTACTTTGGATGACCCTGCTTACATTTAAAATACTGCTGGCCTAGCTTCCAGCATCACAGCCACATGGAGTCACCACATATGACAGACTGATAGGAGAGTGGTGGAGGTCTTTAAGATCCTTGAACTAGTACATGTATTTGGCCAGTGATTATAGCTAACCAGCTTTAGTCTGTGAAGGTTAAGTGGGCAACATTTGTACAGTGGATGAAGAGTATAGGAGGCCACCTCCTAAAAGAATATAGGAAATGGATACGAGCTTTTGAGACAACAGCTTTGAGGTCTGGTGCATTAACCCACAGTGCCATACCAGGTGACCTTCCTTTAGGCTAAGTAAAAGGTATTTACTTCAAAGCTGACAAGTCAGAGCCCAACTGAGTCAGACCACCAGGCATGTGATTTGCCAGGGTCACTTGCCCATGCCTATTCCTGGTTTGGGACGATTAAAGAATAGACATGGGCTTTAAGAACTTCAGAGTCTTTGATTTTTCAAAACAAAGCAAAAATATTGAGGAGCTGGAAGACTGAAAACTTGGATCTAGTCCCAACTTTGTCTCTAACCTGCAAAGTCGTTTGAACTGCAAGATTGGTGGTTCAAGCTCACCAGTCGCTATGGGTCAGAATCGACTCCACAGCACTTAACAACAACAACCCATTACCTTGATTCATAATCTGTGTTCTGGGCCTCATTAGGTACCCCACCATGCTGACCTCTGAATTTGTTGAAGGGATCAAAAAGAAATGGGAACTTTTTAAGAAATGACATTTACTCTACTTGGAGGCCAAAGTGTTCAGGAGAAGTTTGCCAGTACCCAAATATTCTTTGTCTGGATCCTTACAGAGAACCACGTATCATCTAACTCTGTGTCCACTGCCGAGCGAGACTCTTCTCCCACCACAAACCCTAAAATGTCAACCTTGCAGCGGTCTTCATGCTCTACCCCACTGTCCCAAACCAACCGTTACGCCAAAGAACAAGACTATCGACCTAAAGCAACCGGGAGAAAAACACCCACCTTGGCTTCACCAGTTTCAGGAGCACCTTTTCTCCGTCCTGTCCACCAAGTTCCTCTCGTCCCCCATGTACCCATTGTTCGGCCTGCTCACCAGCTTCACCCAGGGCTGGTCCAAAGGATGCTGGCCCAGGGAGCACACCCACAGCATCTTCCAAGTTTGCTCCAAGCTGGTGAGTTTCTGATCTGGGTTTGGTGTATGTTATAGGTCTCTGGGGTTGTTAAGACAACAGTTGGTGGCACCGATGAAGTGGCTGTACTGTTACAGGAAAATTTCGTACCCAGAAAACTGTCTTTAGATGCTTCCATCTAACTAATGGGCAGTGGGTCCAATCCCAGTCCATTAGGATTGGGGATTTAGCTCAAGCATTCTTGATTCTTAAACTTCTAGATGAGCAAAATTGAAGTTGAAATGTCCAGGATTGATTGCTAAACAGTTTCTTTTCTTTACTTAATAGGTGTGCTTCCTCCTGGGATGGATCTGACTCATTTACAGGGAATATCTGGTCCAATCCTGGGTCAGCCTTTTTACCCTTTACCTGCCACCAGTCACCCTCTTCTAAACCCTCGTCCTGGGACACCTCTGCATCTGGCAGTGATGCAGCAGCAGTTACAGCGCTCAGGTAGGCACAGCAAGGGGCTCAGTAAACTTGGAGCTTTCTTCTGGACATTTTCAGCATAGGGGATGAATGGAAACTAGCACATCCTCAATCTCCTAGTCAGAGAGTGGGGTTCACTAGAGAGCATAAAATGAAGTCATCCAACCTCAGTGAGATTTGGGATTATTATTCTTTCAAAGGCAGTAGTAGAGGCAAGTATGTACTTGTTTTCATTAGGATCTTTTGAACAGAGGTTCAGCATAGGCCCTTCTGTGGTAGATGCATTCTCATCAGCTGTGTTTTCTGAGATGTGACCATTTGGCATGGTCCAGGTAGTGGTTATATTACTCAGGATGGGCTCTTACATAACCCAGATGGCTTCTTTTCTAAGTCAGTTTTTTAACTGCAAGGTTGGTTTGAACCAAAAAGTTGGTGGTTCAGATTCACCAATTGCTCCTCAGAAACCCTGTACAGGGTTGCTATAAATTTGGGACAGATTTGAGGGCACTTAACTAATCTTCTGGTTGTGTTGGCAGTTTGCATGCTTCCTGAAGAAATGGTAGAATAAATCTGATACAGACTTTTTGAGGTCTTAGAAGTTTTGAGTAAAACAGGATATATATAGTACAGAACTACTCTCCCCACATGCAGTGCTAACTCTTTTCATCCCCACAGTTCTGCACCCTCCAGGCTCTGGCTCTCAGGCAGCAGCTGTCAGCGTTCCAATCACCCCTCAGAATGTGCCCAGCCGGTCAGGCCTGCCCCACGTGCATGCCCAGCTGGAGCACCGCCCCAGCCAGAGGAGCAGCTCTCCCGTGGGCCTGGCCAAGTGGTTTGGCTCGGATGTGCTGCAGCAGCCCCTGCCCTCCATGCCTGCCAAAGTCATCAGTGTGGACGAGCTGGAATACCGACAGTGAGCAGCACAGGGTGAGGTTCACCTAAGCCTGGACCTAGAGTGACAGTTAAGTCAGGACTCTGCTTCCTCATCCAGGGTTGCTTTACTGGCTTTTATTTTGGAACAATCTGATGAAACTGTTTGGGGGCCTTTAGAATGGATGTCCATGCATCAGATGTGGTCTGCATTGTGGTGAAAGGGTCTCTTAGCCCATCAGTGGAACCCACGGTCTGAACACAGGAGGCAATACTGTCCATCCTGAAAACAGTCCTTTTTTTTTGTAAGATATGTGAATGAAGTGTTGGTGTCGGCACCTAAGGGTTCTGAGGAAATGAATGTATAGACCCTTATGTACAGACCTGTGTATAAACAACTTTTGTATATACATATAGGATAGCTTTTTTGAACTTATACAGCTGTACATAAAAGTAGCTGATATTAGTTAAGCCTGTGTCAACATTTTGGTGTTTTTTTTCACTTGTACATTTGGGACTTTTTTTTTTGGTTGATTAAAGTTGCATATGCTAAGTGTGTGAATGAAGTCAGTGGTATTATTGTGTTTATTTCTTCCCTGAATCTCTTGTCCCATGTTTCTAATCTAACATGTGACATTGTAGGTTCTTGTGGAATAAGTTCTAAATATTTCTTTTAAATGCCATGCAGATGAACATTTAGAAGAAATCTATGACTTTTCTTAAGCCCTGGAGTCCCAAATGGGTCTTCAGTTAATCTGAGCTCTCTTAGACATCATATTATAAACATCCTTGGTTAGTACAAGAATGTTTATAATATGTTTTGAAGATAAAACCAAACTACTAAAAACTTGTTCATTGATGAAATCATGTATATAGCAGTTTCTCCCATTCTTCCTGCCTCAGGTGTAAAACCAGCAGCAAATCCACACTGATTGAGGCAAAAGGCAATAGTTAGCTACCATCTTGTTTCTCTAGCTCAAACCCTCTGTAGGGAAAAAAAAATGGGGCCAGAGTTCTGTTTGAATCCTATCTTTTTCCATTCAGAACTTCCCTACTCTGAAGCCTGTATGCTGTATCTTCTTCCTCAGCCCATTATTCACTTGAACTACATAAACAGCACTGGAAAAAAGGGAAGAAAGTTTTCATTTATTTATCAAGTTAAGAGCAAGGTGGATTTTGACTAAAAGACAGCAAAGTTTAGCATATTTGAGGTATTGGTTATAATCTGAAGCTGCCCACCCTGCCTGAGATCCCTCTCTTAGTACTTTTCATTCAACTTCATTAGGCCCATACTGTTCATTGTCAGTGTGACTCTTTAGCTTTAAAAGTAAACCCTAAGGTTAGAATTCTTGCAAATGCTTTGTTAGCACAGGTGAAAGCTGAATACAGTCCTGAGTGTGGGTCTGTCCTCTTTATTCCCCCAATGTTCATGTTGGAAGTACAGGGCAGGGAGGTTGGATTAGTGCTGCCAGTAAAGGCTTCTTTTTAAGCATGGTGGGGCAGACAAACAAATGTGGCACTATGCAAAAAGCAATTTCATTAGCCAGCAAGATAGATAGCCTGAAGAGAAGAGAGAATCGGTAGGAATAGGAGCATGGAAGCTAGACATTCATAGACTTTAGTAAACCTTCTGGTGCACACAATGGACTGGAGGTGAGGATAGGGGCCAATGAGAAAATGAATGCAATCTTCCAAGAGCTATTAAGGTCTGTTCACTGACAGGGTAAGGGCAGGAAGCAAGTATTATCTCAGCCAATTAAGAAGATATGTCTTTGAAACAAAGGTGGTTTAGAAACAATCAGGACTTGAAAGAAGTACAAAATGAAGTTTAAGACAAGCTAAGGATGCAGAAGGAAACTTCCAAGTAAAAGAAGAGAGAGCCATACACAGCCCTCATGGAAAATCGACCTTTAATGATTAGTGTCAAGTGGGGGTAAATATTATTGCTTCAAAAGTAAAAAGAAACTAAACTGAGCTGTTAGTGCTTGTGAGGTCAGTGAGAATGAGAAGCTGGAGTAAAATGAATGGCAAGTGCAGCCAGGCCTTCTTCAGGAGGAAACTATGAATGTCTTATAAGCCAGCCATGGGAAGTCAGATCCACTGCCCACCTCTCTCAGTGGATAACAGGCATAAACACAACACAGGAATGGAGACAACTTATAGTGGTGAACACACATTTGTAATTCTATTCCCTTTACCAATACTGTTTTAGGAGTGGCCACTGAGACCCAGTAAAATTGACTAGTGGGCTTCTGGGAAATGGCTTCTCCAAAAGACAAGACTCAGCCCTTTTTATTACCCACTGAATTCTATCTAATGTAAGGCCCAAGATGGTGTAGCAAGCATTCTGTGACTGAGGTATGCCAGCAAAGTCAGCAAACTGGAGTAGCCTGATGGAAAGAACATGGATCCACAATGACAGAACAGCCCCCAAAACCTGATGATGCGCTGGATATGGATTTGGGGGCAGGGCTGACATGGGGGTTCAGGCAGCAAGGGAACAGCTCAACATTCAGCCTAAGGAAGGCAGGGAGCCCAGAAAGAAAAGGCCCGTGACAAGAGTCAACATTCACAAAGTACTGGCTTGTATGCCAGATACCACGGTAAGCAGAGTTTGCTAGTACCATCTCCCTTAACACTAATAATCACCATCTTAGAAGACAGGACTGTTACTAACCCACACTATATAAGGACACATGGAGGCTCAAGAATTAGGAGTGGGTGTGTGATTCAAACCCTGTCTATCAGGGTACTTTATTCAATTGCCATACTAAACCATATCCCAAAATGGGCTAGCCTTGTAGGGAATAATCAGGTGATTTAACTGATTTTAACTTTTTCCTTTCTCCAGTACTATTTACTTAGGAAAGATACTGGGGAAGGACTAAAGATCACATCCAATTAATTTAAGATACTGCAGTCACATTGTATCCACCTCACACCATGTAGCAAGTTCTCAAATGCCTCTTAAAACACCCGGGAAAGACTAAAGATCACATCCAATTAATTTAAGATATTGCAGTCACATTGTATCCACCTCACACCATATAGCAAGTTCTCAAATGCCTCTTAAAGTCCATCTCCAAACGAACTCTCTCACACCAACACCATGAACTGCACGTAGCCAGCTGCAGACCAGGTTCTTTATACAGTTCAACAGACAAGGTGACAACTAAGACAAGTGAAATTCCAGTGTGTGTGTTTCCATCTCCCTCCCCCTGAATCCTGACCCAGTGAGCAGCTGAGGAGGGATTTGAGAGCAGGGTGCTTGGTCATGGGGAATGCTGCTGCTGCTGCTGTGCTGGCCCAGCAGTGGAAAAAGAGGAAGGTTTCACTTCTTCACAATCTGAATGCCATCCTCATCCTCCAACAAGTGTGACCTTTACCCACTTTCTGAGGATTGTGTTTCACAGAGAGACCCCAGACCAGAGCGCTGAACAGAAGGGGAAAAAGAAGAGTCAGTGAAAATGATCATTTAGACCCACCTGCCTGGATGCCACCACCCTTTCACACATTCTCTGTCCCAGCTCTCAGGAGCCACAAGCCTGTCAACAGCCAAAGTACCTCTCTCAGGCTCAATCACACTCAAAAGCCAAGCCTCAGCAGTGCAGTACATGGAGCCTTTGAACTTCTGCAAGTTGTGTGGTTTCTCGTGTTCCAAGTAGTTTAAGGTCAAAAAGTTTGAAAAAGCACAATAGCAGTCTAAGAAGCCCAATTTAAAATTAAAAGGAGAAAGCATGTCACAGCGAAATACCCTAAAATAATTCAGTTGGGAATAGATTCTTAAACACTTAAATGTCGATTACATACGGTCACAGAACACCTTCTTTGTACTGGCCCCACTAAAGCCACAGTGGTAACCACTAAGAAGCATAGGGTTTCCCTTTTTCAGCTTTGCTAGGGAAATGCCCTCCCCTACTGAAAGACCTCCAACATGAAGAGTATGTTGGGCTAAAGATGGAAATTGATTAAAAGAAAAAAGACACTGAGACCTTAAAAAAAGATGCTGAGAGATAACAATGTGTCTAAAGATGAAAAATGGTGGCCATATAGTTATTATATTGTCTTTGAGCTAAAAATGTCTTCAAAAACTTATTCCAAAAAGAAATCATTAAACTAGAAACTACTAAAAAAGAGAGAAGCTATTAGGAATAGATATCATTGGTAGAATATATAAAAATCTTCAAATGAACAAGCAAATATATTTAAACAAATGAAAAATGACCATTTTATTCTCTTAAACTAGAAAACAAGTTTTTAGCAATCACAATAAATATCTGAACTAAGTCAGTGTCTCCTATTTTCCTGATGGCAATGTGCAAACTAGTTAAGCCCTTTTGGAAAAAAAAGCAATGCATACGGAAACCCTAACAAACACATACCAAAACCTCTTTCTTGAGTAAAAAAATAAAATGGAGAAGGACTGTGCTTAAGGACAAGAAAACTACCTATTTAAAAAGTTTGTAGAAAAACCCCATTGTCTGTTAATTCTATTTTTCTAGAAACTTTTTATAACCCCCTGGTGTGTAATTGGGATTATATATGTCCTTGGGAAGTGCCGTCCTGTTGATACCAACTCATGTTGTTGTTGTTATGTGCCGTGGAGTCAGTTCCGACCCATAGCAACCCTGTACAGGGTTTCCAAGGCTGTAAATCTTTACAGGAGCAGAAAGTCTCATCTTTCTCCCGCAGAGTGGCTGGTAGTTTCGAACTGCTGACCTTAAAGTTTGCAGCCCGAGTCATAACCACTACACTACCAGAGCTCCTCATAGCAACCCTTTATACGGTTTCCGAGGGGCAACTGGGGGTTTCAGCCGCCAACCTTGTGGTTAGTCCAGTGTTTATCCTACAGCACCACATACATGTCTTTGTGTGATACCATTTCATTTTTTTCTACTTCAGGTAGTTTTCTCCCAAAGGGAGGAAAAAAAGAAGATGGCTATATGTCCACACAGACAAGCACGTGACGAGAACAGGGCAGGGACAAGTGTGGGAGGGCAGAGGCAATACAGAAATCTATAAACAAGGACAAATTTGAACTTTTTCCAAGAGGATTTTTCATTGACTCAGTAAGTGCCTAAGTATGTGGTTCAAGTGTAGTGGAAGTCAGTATCACTATGTGGAGTCATGAGGAGACCTGGTAGAAAAGTGAGTTACGAGGTAGGCTGCTAACCACAAGGTCAGCAGTTCAAATCTACCAGCCGCTATGCAGTTTTCTGCTCCCATAAAGATTTACAACCCTGGAAACCATATACAGGGTTTACTGAGTTGGAACCAACTCAACAACACACAACCACTACCAACAACCATGTGGAGTCATGCTGTGGCACTGTAGGACAAGCACTGAACTGCTAAACCACAGGGCTGGTGGTTCAAACCCACCATCCACTCCTGAAACCCTATAAAGGGTCACTATGAGTGGGAACGGACTCAGAGGCACTTAGGAACAACAGTGTTGAATATGAGTCCCAGTGTAGCGCTGTAGGATAAGCATAACTGGACTGGTAACTGCCAGGTCAGCAGTTCAAATCCACCAGCCGCTAAACTGGAACCGACTCAGGGGCACTTAACAACATGGGAACGTGAAGGAGCCCACTAGTGGCTACATAGGAGAAAGATGAGGTAGAGTCATTTTCCATAAAGATTTACTGCCTTGGAAACCTCATAGGGCAGCTCTCCTCTGTCTGATAAGGGACTCCACAAGTCAAAATTGACTCAGCAGCACACTACTACATATAAATATATATATAAAAGTAATCTGAGGCTCAATAAAGGACCTCTCTCACTATTCTGAGGATCAGAATATTTTTAAATGTCACTTTCCTTGTTTCCTAGAACTATTTTTCTTTTGTTTTTAAAACTATTTTGAAATTATCAGCCTGTAAAGATGAAAGGAACTTTTCATCAATGTTGTAATCCAGTTAAGTGCAAGTATTTCTCACAAGGATATGGGTTGCAATTCTGAAACGTTCTCACTATTAGAATTACAAGTAACTTTGTAAACCTGTGGATTAATAAGCAGGGAACACAGAGCACTAATTCACAGTAGAATTCCAATCAATGAATGTAGAATGAAAGAGGAAAAGAGAGGATCGCTGTCAGACAAACACCACTGCAACTTATGGTGTAGACAAGCTCCATTAGAGAGTCAGAGCCGGGTGAACATGTGAAGACACAAAGTATCTCCCCCACCACCATTGTCTAATAGAAACTTTACAGGAGAGAAACCCAGCAGATAGCAACTTCACTAAGTCCTCAAGGTAAGTATCATGCCACGAACAATGGTGGGACACGTCATGGGTCTGGAGATAGGAAGCACTGTAAAGGACCAAAACAGCACTAACCTCACATCATTCACGAGAAAATTTTAGAAAGACTCTTAGTTCTTGTACCATCAGCCCACCTCTCCTGGAGCTCAGCCTGCTCCACCCTGCATGGATTTCAGAAGCCACTGCTGAGTTCTAACCAAAGCACTGTAGCAGCCTCCCAGTTGCCAGACTTCTCTGATGCTATCCTAAAACTTCCAAGTTAATGAAACTAGAAAAGGAGATACTGCACACCTGTGATACTCACTATTTAAATTCTTTGATAAGATTTTTGTGAATCTTCATGCAGAAATCCTCCACCGTGGTCCTGGAGTCGGGCAGCACAACTGGGGATGTATAGTCTGGTAACTGGCCTTTGGGTTTAGTATAACTAGAACAAAAGCAAGAGAGGTTGCCTTCTGCCTGGAACATTTCATGTGTTGAATGCAAACCCACCTTCCAATACCCCTGAGAAGATCAGCTCCAGATAACTCTCAACCTAAGAAAGCGAATATCCTCAAATATGGTCTAGCAGATGAAAGGAACTGATCTATTTATAATTCTAAAAAAAATCTTGTGAATGAGCTCCAGAGGTTATCATTTTAGGATAGTCTGGCTGTTCAACTCCCTCTCATCTTAAGTAAGACTTACATCCTCACTAGTTTCAGATAGTCCCAGATCTTTTCCAGCAGGTCATCAAAATTCCAGCGGTGGTGGGCAGAGATGGGTACGCAGTGAGGTACCTTGTAAATGATATCCAATTCCTCAATGGAGATCTGATCAATCTTATTTAACACATAGATACATGGGATATAAACTCTGCAGGAGAAGAAAACAAATAGGACACTAGCCTTGAGTTGTTGACTAGACTATCAATCTGATGACTGGCACCACCTCTTTACCCAGAACCCCATCATATATGGCACATCAGTACCCCACTCCCCCCAAAAAAAGGCGTAAAGTCCAAAAAGTGACCTATAAGTTGAAAAGTAATCAAACTCAGGCTCTAATATGTCAGGCAGAGAATTCCCGAGTGACCACACGCTGTGTGGAAAGAGATAAACTATGAAGTCACCCAGACTGACTCTAATCCCAACTCTGTCACTCTCTAGATGTTATGTCCCAGTGAATAACTACAAAGCTGGAAAGACTAGACTTGTCCTGCTCTCAAGCTCTGTACGGCAGCCTACAGGGTCTCTCAAATGGATTATTACTTCTGGGAGCACAGAGTGACTGACTATAATAACTACCACCTGACCAAGAGCTTAGCGGATGCTAAATTTACATTAAGGAACAGAAATGAGAAACTTGACCATCAAAATAAAACTTCAGCACTAGGAAAGATATTAGAAATCAAAACAAATGCTTCATTGTATAGCTTAAGAAACCAAAACCTCACTACTACTTAAGACAGCAGCATGACTATAGTTAGAATTGATGTCCAGTTGGTGATCCAGTGTTATTTTCATTACAAAGCTGCAAACTCAAGGCAGTAGGCTGTGCTCTAGATCGGTACCTGTTTCCTTCCACCACATCAATGAGGTCATCAGCTGTGGCATCACTACGCAGAGTCACATCAGCATTGTGGATTTTGTATTCAGCCAGAATGCTCTTCACAGTTTCAGCATCCAGCTCACTCTGAGGACACTGAATGGATCAAGAGAATGGTCAGAGAGCAAAAGACTTCCCAAAAGTACATTCCCATATACATGGGTAACTCTAGCTACAGTGCAAACTCATTTCTGAAGACTGCTACCCTGAAAGGAGCCCTGGTGGCACAGTGGATTAAGCATTGGGCTGCTAGCTGCAAAGTGACAGTTTAAACACCAATCACTCCATGGGAGAAAAATGAGGCAGACTGCTCCCATAATGAATCAGTCTTGGAAATCTTAAGCAGCTCTATTCTGGTGTACAAGGTTACTACTGTTGTTGTGAAATGCCGTCAAGTCGATTCCAACCCATAGCAACCCTGTATAGGGTTTCCAAGGAGCAGCTGGTGAGCTTGAACCGCCGACCTTGCAGTTCAAATGGCTTTGTAGTCTGGCGCATTAACCCACAGTGCCACATCAGGACTCCTAGTTAGAATGGACAGCAGATGTTAGTGAGGCTACCCTGGAGTAGAGTAACTGCTTTTTAGTAGGCAATGCTTAAAAAACTAAAGTTTTCTAAACTCAAAAAAAGGAATCTTGAACGCTAAAATTTCAAACCTAATAGGATAAAGGGAAGAATCTTTTGGGCAGAACAGCTTACACATATATACCATTTAAATCATCTGGATCTCTATAATGTTAAATTTAGTAGGAAGCTCAGTATTCAAATGACTGAACTGATCACTCACTCCCATCTGAAACACTTTCTTTACTCAATTTCCAGGTTTCCAAACTCTTCCAACTTTCATTCTAGCCCTACTTTTCCGTATAATTCTAATTTGCTGATTTTCCCATCTCCCAACCTCCAATTGCAGGAAGGCCCCAGAGTTCAATCCTCAAATCTCCTTTTTTCCCTATTTATACCCACCCACTTCCTTAGTGATCTAAGCTAGGCTCATGGCTTTAAAGCTGATGACTCCAAAATTTATAATCCAGTCCAGATCATTCCTTTAAGTCTAAGTGATATCTCAAACTTAATGCCCTGATATCCCCCTCTCCGCCAAACCTATTCTATCCCAAGTCTTAGCATTTAAATTAACAAGAGCCCATTTTTCTAGATTAGGAAAAAAAATTAGTTATCTCTTTTTCTCATAACACACATTCAATCCATCGATGATTCCTATCGGTTACTTTTAAAAACTTTCCAGAATCCATTGTTTCCCATCTCCACTACTACCACTCTGGTCTAAGAAGCCATCATTTCTTATCTGGGTTATTGCAATAACTTCTTAAATGATATATACTTTTATTCTTACCCCATTCCAGTCTATTTTCAATCGAATTGCCAGTATGATCCCATAAAACCTAAATCAATACCTCACCGTCACTAGGATGGCTATCAGAAAAATGTGTGAGGTTTTGTAAAACTTCCAAAAACAGTGAGTGGTGATGATAGCAATAATGTTAAATCGGCACTGAATTACACACTTAAAAATCATTAAAATGGCAAACTTTGTTCAGTTTTTTACTACAATAAGATTTGAAATAAACAAACAAAACCCTGCATCAAATCATGTTAAGTCTGCATCACAATTCAAAGTAAATGCATAGCCCTTTACTATGGCTTCTGTAAGATAAACAACGGACTGCTAACTGCAAGGCTGGTGGTTCAAACCTACCAGCCACTCCGCAGAAACCCTATACATGTTCACTGAGTTGGAACGGACTTAACGGCCAGCATTCAACAACTATGACTCCACTTTAGTATGCTCCACTTGTCCATTCTGGTCCTTGACCATGCAAAGGCATGCTCTATCTTCAGTGCATTCATACCCGAGGTTTCTATCTATTAAGAAATGCTCTTCCCCAAGATTTCTACTTGTTCACACTTTCATGTTACCTCAGTGAAATCTTGCCTGACCACCCTACATAAAACCAACACTCCTTCCCTTATCCCCTTTTCCTATTTAATCTCCTTAGATATCACCATCAATACACTATATTTAACTCATTAACTTTTTTCCCCATAATATATATCCCAAGAGCCTACAACGTTTGCCCGATAGTAGGTGTGCTATAAAAACATGGTATTGACAGCCATCCACAATTGACCCTTCAAAAACCCTGGGGGGGGGGGGGGGAGAAGGTTAGGGGCACTGACCCCCTGAGGTGTAGAAAATCCACATATAACTTTTGACTCCTCCAAAACTTAATAGCCTACTGTTGACCAGAAGCCTTATGGCAGACATAAATGCTTGATTAACATGTATTTTGTATGTTATATACAAGCTGTGTTTTTATGACAATATAAAAAGGTACTGTACAAAAATCTCAAAGTTTTTACGCCTCCTTATTGCACAAATTTCCCTTTCTTATGTAACAATGGTCCTTATACTGGATTCATTTATCTTGAAATGGAGGGCAACCACAGCTGCAGACCTTATCTATGGTAAATATCAACCAATCCAACTTTCTCTTTAAAGTCATGACTTTTCTCTGCTTCTTAGGAGCACTTCCAGCATCACTACTAAAAATAATGAAAAAAATACATGAAAACCACAGAGGTCACTTTTTCTTGCGACACACAATTTAGCAGAGAGATGAACTGCTCGCACAAAGATAATTGGCATCACATTTTTCCTTTTTCAAATTCACATATAAGTGGAGCCACACAGTTCAAACCTGTGCTGTTCTAGAGTCAAGTGTACTTCATGCAAATATATAAAGTCCATATCCCCCTATCATCCCAAACAGACAAACCAAAGAGTTAATGAGAGCTGCAAAGGATAAGTCAGAGAGTAAGGTCATTAGGTAAGGTAATCAGCATAGCTAAATCTCCAGATGCCAGTATGAATCTAACCCCCACCCCAGTCCCTTTAGTAGCCAGACCTATTATCACATTCCCTACTTACAGTAGCTGTGAGATTAATGCCTCCCTTGTCCTTCTTCTTAAAGCCAATGTTGGGAGATTTGCTGTTCAAGCGAATGCCAAAGCCTTCGAGCTCATTTTCAATTATCTTCTTGTGTCCCAAGGGCTTTAGGACATCCAGAACAATCAGGATCAAGTTACAGGTTCGGGCCACTGGAGAATTTGGTGAAAAAGGTCAATAAACTCATAACTAATCCAAATACTCAAATAGCTTTTGCATTTCTTCTTAAAGAGAAAAAGGATTTGGGGGGGCGGGGGGGGAGGTGATTGTGTACATACATATAAAGTTCTTAAAATTACAAAAATGTTTTCCCAGAAGTCAACTTACAATGTTTGTCTTAGAGTCACTACATAATTGCCTAAGAGTCAGCACACCCACCTTATCTTCTAGATACACTAGTAGAAAAACTAGTCAGAGAAAAATTCTAACCATAGTCACCTCAAATCTCCAAGAGTTTAGAAAGACTTAAAGCAGAAAGAACTCTAAGAGAAAAAGATGATCTGGTTAGCATATTTTATCAACTTTATTGAAGTATAATTTACAAACAGTAACTTTTAACTATTCTGAGCAAACTGTCTGATGACAAAGTATACACCAAAGTAACCACCACAGCAATCCGAATACAGAATCCTCCATCATCTCCACAAATTCCCTGGGTCCCTCTGCAGTAGACCATCCTATCCACTGGCAGCCAATACTCACCTGCTTTCTTCACCAAAAATTAGTTTGCACATTTTAGAATTTCATGTAAGTGGAATCATACAATACAAGGGGGCTTCAAAAAGTTCATGGAAAAACAGAAGTAAACGATAACGAAATGTCTCCATAAACTTTTTGATGCTCCCTTGTATTGTAAGCTCTTTTGTGCCTCTTTTGACTTGGCATATTTTTGTGATTCATCCATGTCACATATATACAATTTATTCCTCTCATCACTCCATTTTACAGTCATCCACGTCATGTGTATATAATTTATTCCTCTCATCACTCCATTTTATGGATATAACTTTACTCATTAATCTGTTGATGGACATTTATATTGTTTACAATTTTAGATAATTATGATCAATGTTATCAAGTACATTCGTATACAACTCTTTCTGTGGACATATATTTTCATTTCTCTGAAGTAAATACTAAGAAGTAGAATTTCTGGGTTATATGAAACTGCCAAACTGTTTTCCAAAGCATTTATATTATTTTACACTCCCTGGATAAACACTAGATGGCTAACAGTAAGATCAGCAATTCAAACCCATCAACGGCGCCTTGGAAACTCTATACTGACTCAACAGCATTTAACAGCAATACTCCCATCATCAGTATACAACCGTTTCAATTGTTCCTCATCCTCACCAAACATTGGTATTATCATTTCCCCTCTCAATTTTAGCCACTCTTATGGGTATGCACATTGTGGCTTTAATGTGATTTCCTTGATAACTAATGATGTTAACTATCTCTTCACATGCTTACTGGCCATTCATATCTCTTTTTGTGCTTACTCTTTTGCTCACGTTTTAATTGGGTTGTCTTAATACTGTATAAGCACTCTATATATTCTGAAATAAAGTCCTTTGTCAGATACACATCTCAAACATTTTCTCCCCATGTGCAATTTGCTTTTTCATTTGAACTATCTTTTGACCAGAAAAAGTTTTTAATTTCAATAATGTGCAATTAATTTATTGCTTTTTTCATGGTTTCCGATGGCAGTGTTCCATCTAGTAAATCTTTGCCTATCCCAAAATAGCAAAGAATTTTCTGTCTGGGTGAGATTTACTCAGATGCTACAGAACAATAGTTACTCAAACATTCTAGGAGATTTTTGTAGTTTTAACATCTACTGATTTCTTATCAAAAAAGTAAGCCACGCTTGTAAAAATCCAAAGAAACAAACAAAAACATATTTGTGACTATATAATTTATCATCCCAACAGGAAATTTTTGAGAATGAAAGGGGACACGATTAGTATTACACTGAACCACAGGCATAAAGCAAAATTAAAACATTCCACGAGTAAAGGTCAAAATGAAGTTGAATCTATCTATTCTAGTGTTCTGTGTTGTACCATTCCCTTTCATATTTAGAGAAAATTAAAGCCCTAAGCTACTAACTAAAAGTTTGGCAATTCAAAGTCACCAGTTACTCAGCAGGGGAAAAGACCTGGTGACCTGTTCTCATTAAGATTACAACTTAGAAAGTCCTATGGGGCAAGTGTATCCTCTAATTTGGGAAAAAAATCAACAGTGCAAGGCCACAGCAATAAGAGCAATGAAAAAATCTATACCCAATTTAGAGCTTTTACACTTAACAAAAAACAATTTCAAAGAGCCACAGGGATCCACTCGACAGCACTTCACAACAACAACAGCGTGGCTATGGGTGAGAACCAACTTGACGGCACTTAAAAACAACAACAGTTTTAAAAAAAAAGCTTGCTTATGTCCACAATTTGACAACCACATGAAAATACCCAGGGCACCCTAAACAGACAATGTAAAAGAACATAGAACACTAGAGCAGGAACAGGATGTTGAAAATGGAAATGTGGTCCTTTGTCTAAAGAGAACCAAGACATGTGACAGAAATGTCACTGGAGTTCAGGCTTAGGCCAAAAGAGTGTAACAATAAAACAACAGAATGAAAAGAAGGAAGTTTAGCAGAAATATTCATTCTAAACAGCTGAGTCCCTATACACCGTCTCCTTTCCTGCTCCCAGCATACATTCAATAACACAGACCACATCCTCCAAGCTTTAAGGATTTTTTTACCAGTTACTGACTAGTCACATAAAAAAAAAAAAAAGCCTGTCAAAATTATCTAGAAGTTTCCCTCCAAAAGAGCTAGCTCACTGCATTATCACACTGAATAGTAAAGCCCATGAGTCAAAACTCCTGCTCAATCCCATCAACGTTCTAGTTCTACACTCTTAGAGAAATGGAACGCGAACACCAGATGTTTGTAATATATCAGAAACAGAGATGACTCTTGAATTTACCAATACGATCCAGAGAAAACAGTGGCTTCCAAGAGGATTTTCTGAGCCAGTGAAATTCAAGGCAGAGAGGTCAGTTCAAATGGTTATGTATGGCCAACTGTTTTGGGATGTCAAAGGGCTCATCTGGATAGATTTTCTCAAATGACAGAGGACATTTGTTCCATAAAATCATTCATTTGCTACAACGTTGCTTAAAAGACAGCAGAAAGATAGGCTCTTTCAACTAGTGATTTTCATGTGACCCTTTTGGCACTCACTGAGCAGAAAACTTTCTGAGGCCAACGTGTTCACATAACAATGAAAACACTGAACCATATGAGATGCCAATGTCAGGAGCTGTCACATCAATAGTAACTCTATGGCCTTCTTCCACCAATTTCTGGACTTCAGCCGCAAGACCTTTATTTGTCAAAGTTAATGGGTCTGGTCTGCCCTCACTTTGTGCTCCCGTTCTTCCTTAAAATGCTTGATCCATCCAAAACCTGTTATTTCATGTGGGACAGCATTCCCATACACTTACTGCAAACATCAATGATTTGAGAGGTATCCACTTGAGCTTTATTAAAAATCTGGTATTACGCCTGACTGCAAACGTTTTTTCCTATCAGACTACATCCCTCAATCACCTTTCAAGTTAAAATGGTTGAACTGGTATATGTTATACTGTGTATGTTCTCAACAACAAAGAAAAAAAGAATTTTTTCAAACAGCAAAAAAATGAATTCAAAGATAATATTTACAAAAAGTTAAGTAACAAAAACAACAGCTTAGCTGAGGCTTAAAAATACTTGCCTATAGAGCAAGGAAAAGAGAGCAATAGATTGTTTTATGATTACCCTTTTATGCTGTGGCGCTGTGGGTTAATGCGCCAGACTACAAAGCCGTATGAACTGCAAGGTCGGTGGTTCAAGCTCACCAGCTGTTCCTCGGAAACCCTATACAGGGTTGCTATGGGTTGGAACCAACTCGACAGCACTTCACAACAACCCTGTTATAACATTTTATTTTTTTTAATGGAAAAAAGAAGTAAAGGCATTGGTCAGAGTCGGAAGACCTGAGTTGCAGTTTTTAACCTGCTCTGGAAACCTTATACAGGATCACTATGAGTCCAAAGTGATTCAACGGCACATAACAACAGCTACCAGTGGGAACTAACCAAAACACTTCATTTGTCCTGAGATATGCACTCTGGTGAAAAGACAGGTCAACTGTGCCTTCACTAGGGTAGCATCTCCAAGCCCAAAGTCCCTTGCTAAAAGAATACCAAAAGGTAAGGGGATCATCCCCTGGAATAATGGCCATGGACCACTCACCTGCAATGACTTGACGGCCTCTACCTTTGCCATCCTTAGCACCCTCAATGATACCTGGGAGATCCAAAAGCTGTAAGATAAAGGACAAGGGGGAAAAAAAACGTTATAAATTTGAAGCGAAAGATAAAATGATTTAATTCTAAAGTAACCAAAATTTAGGACATATAAATCCAATCTTCCTCATAAGTGTGTGTGTGACCATTGCAAAATAAATAAACGTCAGTTTTTAATATACTGTACCTGTTTAAAATGCCTAGATAGTCTTGTGAATATCATTAATATCACATACAAGTAAAATTTAGCTAAAGATAATTTAAAAACAGCTGCAACCGTACATTGACAAAGAACTGTCAGAAGTTTAAGCTGGATTGAGATGAGGACAGGGAACAAATCTTATCAATGCTAACTTCAGAAGGATTTTGGCTAAAAGCAGAGAACACCAGAAAGATGTTTACCTGTACTTTACTGACTATGCAGAGGCTTTAGACTGTATGTATCATGACAAGCTATGGACAACATTGTGGAGAACAAGCATTCCAGAACACTTAACTGTGCTCATGAGGAAACTACATGAAACTACCATGAGGTAGTTGTTCAAACTGAACAAAGGAACACTAACTGTTTAAAATTAGGAAAGGTATGCATGGTTGTATTCTTTCACCATACTTATTCACAATCTGTACGCTGAACACAAAATCTGGGAAGCTGTATTATAAGAAAAAGAATGTGGCATCAGGATCAGAAGAAGACCCATTAACAACCTGTGATATTCAGATGACACACCCTTGCTTGCTGAAAACAAAGAGTACTTAAAATGCTTACTGATGAGGATCAAAGACCACAGCCTTCTGTATGAGTGCATCTCAATGTAAAGAAAACAAAAATCCTCAGCAATGGACCAATAAACAACACTCATATAAATGAAGAAAAGACGGAAGTTGTCAGATTTCACTTTGCTCTGATCAACCATATATACTCATGGAAACAGCAGTCAAGAAACCAAACAGTGGGACTGTGACCCTTTGCGTTTTCTCTTTCTAGCCAGTGCCGAGTGACAGGTATCTCCCGGGTGGGACAACTGGCACAAGCGCCACAAGACTGGGGGAAGAGAAAGCCCTACCACAAGAAGCTTAAGTATGAGCTGGACGTTCGGCTGCCAACACTAAGATCGGCCCCCACTGCAAACACACAGTACGTATTAGAGGAGACAACAAGAAGTATTGGGCCCTGAGGCTGGATGTGGGGAACTTCTCCTGGGGTTATGAGTGTTGTACCCAGAAAACAAGGACTATTGATGTTGTGTACAATGCATCCAATAATGGGCTGGTCCTCACCAAGACTCTAGTGAAGAACTGCAACATGCTCATTGACAGCACACGGTATCAGCAGTGGTACGAGTCCCACTATGCACTGCAAGAAGGGAGCCAAACTGACTCCTGAAGAGGAAGAGATATTAAACAAAAAGCGATCAAAGAAAATTCAGAAAAAATACAATGAAAGGAAAAAGGATGCAAAAAGCAGCAGTCTTTTGGAGGAGCAATCCCAGCAGGGCAAGCTTCTTGCATGGATCACTTCAAGACCAGGCCAGTGTGGCTGAGCAGATGGCTATGTTCTAGAGGGCAAAGAGTTGGAGTTCTATCTGAGGAAAATCAAGGGCCGGAAAGGCAAATAAAGCTTCCTCCATCACATCCAGCACATATATTAAAGCTGTTTATTCGAAAAAAAAAGAAGAAAAGAAATCAAACGATGTATTGCATTAGGCAAATCTGCTGCACAGGGCCTCCTTAAAGTACTGAAGAGCAAAACTGGCAGTTTGAGGACTAAGGTGCACCTGACCCAAGCCATGGTATTTTCAATAACCTCATATGCATACGAATGTTGGACAGTGAATAAGGAAGACCATGGAAGAATTGACGAATTTGAATTACGGTGTTGGAGAATATTAAAAGTACTATGGACTGCCAGAATAATAAATCAATCAGCCAGGATGGCCATAATTTGTCTCTCATGTTATTGTTGTTAGATGCCAACAAGTCTGCACAAATGCATAGCAACCCTATGCACAACAGACCAAAACACTGCCTGGTTCTGCATCAACTTCATAATCATTGCTACATTTGAGCACATTGCTGCTGCCACTGTGCCAATCCATCCCGTTGGAGGGCTCCTCTTTTTCTCCGACCCTCCATTTTACCAAACATATCCTTCTCCAGCAACTGGTCCCTCCTGACAAAATGTCTGACGTATGAGAAACAAAGTTTCACCATCCTGGCATCCAAGGACTATTCTGACTGTACCTCTTCCAACATAGGTTGATTTTTTTTTCTTTCAGCAGTCCACGATACTTTTAATATTCTCCTCCAATACCATAGCGCAAATGCATCAATTCTCCTATGATCTTCCTTACTCACAGTTCAACCTGCGTATTTATATGAGGTTATTGAAAATACCATGGCTTGGGTCAGGTGTACCTTAGTCCTCAAACTGACAATTTTGCTCTTCAACACTTTAAAGAAGCCTTGTGCAGCAGATTTGCCTAAAGCAATACATCATTTGATTTCTTGACTGCTGCTTCCATGAGTGTTGATGGTTGATCCGAGCAATAAGAAGTCTTTGACAATTTCAATCCTTTCTCCATTTATCAAGATGTTATTTATTGGTCCAGTGGATAGGATTTTTATTTTCTTTACGTTGAGGTGCAACCCATATGAAGGCTGTGGTCTTTGATCTGTATCAGTATGTTTTTTAATTCCTCTTTACTTTTAGCAAGCAAGATGTATCATCTGCATATCACAGGTTGTTAATAAGTCTTCTTCCTATCCTGGTGCCTCATTTTTCTTCATATAATACAGCTCTTGAATTATCTGCTCAGCATATGGACTGAGTAAGTGTGGTGAAAGAATACAACCCTGGCACATACCTTTCCTAATTTTAAACTATTTAGCGTTCCCTTGTTCCATTTGAACAAATGCTTCTTGGTCTACGTACGCGTTCCTCATGAGTACAATTAAGTGTTCTGAAATACTTATTCATCACAGTGTTGTCCATAGTTTATCATGACCCACACAATTGAAATCTTTTTCAGAATCAATAAAGCACAGGTAAAACATCTTTCTGGTATTCTCTGCTTTCAGCCAAGATCCATAATATCCCTCATTCCATGTACTCTCCTGATTCTGGCTTGAACCTCTGGAATTTTTCTGTCAATGTATGGTTGCAGCCATTTTGAATTATCTTTAGCAAAATTTTGCTTGCATGGGATATTAATGATATTGTCTGATGATTTCCATATTCTGTTCAGCCACTTCTCTTTAGAATGGGCACAAATATGGACCTCTTCCAGTTGGTCAGATAGTTATCTTCCAAATTTCTTGGCATAGATGAGTGAGTGCCTCCAGTGTTGCCTCAGTTTGTTGAAAGATTTCAATGTGTACACCATCAATTCCAAGAGCTTTGTTCTTTGCCAAAGCATTCAATGTACTCTGGACTTCTTCCTTCAGGATTATTGGCTCTTAATCATATGCTACCTCTTGAAATGACTGAACATCACTGTGATACAGTGACTCTGTGTATTCATTCCATCTTCTTCTGATGCTTTCTGCACCACTCAGTATTTTCCCCATAGAGTCCTTCAATATTTCAAGTCAAGGGTTGAATTTTTTATTCAGTTCCCTCAGGTTGAGGAATGGTTTTCTAACTCCAGGTCTTTACACATTTCGCTGTAATATTTGACTTTATCTTCTCAACTGCTGCTTGAAATTTTCTATACAGCTTATTTCCTCGTTTCTTCCATTTGCTTTAGTATCTCTATGCTGGAGAGTAAGTTTCAGTTTCTTCTGACATCCATTTTGGTCTTTTCCTTCTTCCTTGTCTTCTTAACGACCTTTTGCTTTCTTCCTGGATGAAGTTCTTCATGTCATTCTACAAGTCTTCTTGTCTTCAATCACTAGTGTCTAATGCATCAAATTTGTTCCTAAGATAATCTCTAAATTCAGGTGGGATATGTTAAAGGTTGTATTTTGGCTCTCTGGACTTGTTTTACTTTTATTCAGCTTCACCCTTAACTTGCATATGAACTGATGATCTGTTCCAGTCTGCCCCTGGCATTGTTTTGGCTAATAATATGGAGCTCTGGTAGCATAAAGTTTATGAGTCGGGCTGCTAACCTCAAGGTTAGCAAGAAATCGATGAGGATTTCTGTTCCTATAAAGATTTACAGTCTGTCTCAGAAACCCTATGCAGGGCTGCTATGAGTAGGAACTGACTCCACGGCACAAAACCACCACCACCATGGACCTTTTCCACTGTCTCTTTCCACAGATGTCAATTTGATTTTTGTGTATTCCATCTGGTGAGGTCCATGTATATAGTCATCTTTTATGTTGTTTAAAATAGATATTTGCTATGAAGAAGTCATTTTTGTTGTTGTTAGGTACCACTGAGTCGGTACCAACTCATAGTGACCTTATGCACAGCAGAACGAAACAATGCCCAACCCTGGGCCAACCTCACTACTGTTGCCACACTTGAGTCCTTCGATGCTGCCACTTAGCCAATCCATATTGCTGGGGTTCTTTCTCTTTTTCTCCGAACCTCCACCTTACCAAACATGATATTCTTCTCCAGCGACTTGTCCCTCCTGACAATATGTCCAAAGTATGAGAGACAAAGTTTGGCCATCTTGGCCTCCAAGGAGCACTCTGGCTGCACTTCTTCCACAATGGATCTATTGGTTCTTTTGGCAGCCCATAGAACTTTCAATATTCTCCTCCAACACCATAACTCAAAAGCACCAATACTTCTATGGTCTTCCTTATTCACTGTCCAGCTTTCACATGCATATGAGGTTATTGAAAATACCATGGCTTGGGTCAGGTGTACCTTAGTAGCTGACATCTTTGCTCTTCAACACTTTAAGAAGGTCTTGTACAGCAGATTTGCCTAATGCAATACGTCGTTTGATTTCTTCACTGCTACTTCCATGAGTGTTGATAGCTGATCCAAGAAGAATGAAGTCCTTGACAACTTCAACAATGTTTATTGGTGTAGTGGTGAGGATTTTTGTTTTCTTTACATTGAAATGCAATCCATACTGAAGGTTGTGCTCTTTGATCTTCATGAGTAAATATTTTAAGTCCTCTTCACTTTCAGCAAGCAAGGTTGTATCATCTGCATATCGTAGGTTGTTAATGAGTCTTCCTCCAATCCTGATGCCACGTTTTTCTCCATAGAACCCAGCTTCTTGTATTATTTGCTCAGCATACAGTTTGAATAAGTATGTTGAAAGAATACACCTGTCGCACATCTTTCTTAATTTTAAACCGTTCAGTGTTCCCATGTTCTGTTCAAACAACTGCCTCTTGGTCCAGGTACAGATTCCTGATGAGCATAATTAAATGTTCTGGAAATCCTATACAAGGTCACTATGAGCTTGAAATAACAGCACACCTCCAACACCACTACAATGAACTTGGAGTTCTGGTGTGGCACTGTAAGATAAGCACTGAACTACTAACCTAAAGGCTGGTGGTTCAAACCCACCAGTCACTCCTTGGAAAACCAATACAGGGTTGCTATGAACCAGAACCAACTACACAGCACTTAACAACACAACAGTGAATTTACATGGGTGTCATGGGATATTTCTAAAACTTCAAGAGAAACATAGTAATACTTGATTCAGTCATCAAGTAAACTACTAGCTTCAAGCAGCTTACAGTTTAAACACTAGATTCTACTACATTGCTTTTGATTACATCATATCCAAATCAGAGCAATGTTCAATTCATCACTGGTTAATAAAGTAAAAAGAAAAGAAAAAACACTAAAAATCAATGTGGAAAAGAACCAAATGTGGCATGTCCAATCTGATTCCAAGGTTTGAAAGGTTGTGTAGTAGTGGGCAGGTACACATGAGTAAAATGATTTTGACCGTAAGGACAGTTATACTTAAATTTGTTGTTGTTGAATTGACGTTGAGTCGGTTCCTACTCAGAGTGACCCTATATACGGTTTCCCAGGAGTGGCTGGTAGGTTTGAACTGCCAACCTTATGGTTAGCAATCCATTGCTTATTCTGAACTATTAAGTGTTTCTTTCAGCCTAAGGATGCCACAAAAATTGGTGGGTTATTGAGAGTGTCATGGCCTAACCACCTAGACCTTAAACCAGACCCCTGCCTTCTTAGTTGTGCAGAATGTTCTTCCGTGAGTATTATTTTACATATACTTTCTTTCACATCCTAGGTGATCCCGCATTTGGGAGCCCTAAATCTATCATTTAAAACTTCTTAGGAGACCAACTTCATTAGCTTTACAGACAAAAATTGTCAACTGAAAAGGATCTGAGCACGTTATTAACCTTTTTGTAAAGTTCTGATGGTTCTTAGTTAAACACATGATAAATCTAAGCTTGCACCACAGCAGGCTGTTCACCACTACTGTCACCTGAAATGCTCTTTCCTCTTCTGTCTCCACTTGGTGAATTGCTATTCAAATTTCAATGTCCACCTTTAATGTCACTTTCTACATGAAGCCTTCTTTGACTTCTCACCAGACCATCCCCATCTATTCCCAGGGGAAAATGAGTACTGGCTTTCTCTGTGTTTCCACAGGCATCACAATGTACTGTATTTATGTACTGCTCTATCTATCATGGTAGAGAGAGTATGATAGATGAAAGAGCAGGCCGAGCTCCTTTTCAGTGAGCTCCTAATAAGTGTTTCCTAAATGAATAAAAGAATAGATTTGTTCATGCCCTGGCCTGCAAGCTGGACTCACCTGGATCTTGGCACCTTTGTATCTGATGACACCAGGCACAGTGGTCAGAGTAGTGAATTCGTAGGCTGCCACCTCAGAATATACCCCTGCCAGGTTACTGAGCAGGGTTGACTTCCCCACAGATGGAAAACCCACAAATCCAATTCGGGCATCACCTGTCTTGGCTACATCGAAACCTAAAACACCAAAGAAGATCAAAAAGGAGAGTTATTTATGGGAGCACTATTCAATACAGTCCTGTTGGATGCCTACCCTTCTAGTTAAACACATGATAAAACACATGTGTTTAGGCCCTATTTCTCAAACTTTATACAGTTTTCTCTCAAAAGCAGAACTTTTGTTTACTTGTATTTTTATTGTTAGGTGCTGTTGAGTCAGCTAACTCATACCAACCCTATGCAGAACTTAAGTGCACAAAATTCTGTATGTAGCAATTTATAACATTCAATGTGGTGTTGGATAGATACTTCATTCCTCTTCATTTACATTGTTATATACGTTTCTTCATACCTATGGACTCCTGGTGTGGCGCTGTAGGATTAACAGTAAACTGCGAACTACAAGGTCAGCAGTTCAAACCCACCAGCTGTTCCTTGGAAACACTATACAGGTTCGCTATGAGTCAGAACCAACTTGACAGTACTTAGCAACAACATGGAGTCCTGGTGTGGCGCTGTGAGTTAATATGCCAGACTGCAAAGCCTTCTGAACTGCAAGGTTGGCGGTTCAAGGTCACCAGCTGCTCCTCGGAAACCCTATACAGGGTCGCTATGGGTCACAACTGACTCGATGGCACTTATCAACATCAACAACATACTATCTACAGTGTTTAGAACACAAATATAATAATTGATCTGAAACAAAATTTAAAAGATTTTGTCTTACAAATACTGAGAATTATGTGACATATTAGTTTTTCTCTATATTACAGTGGCTGTAAACAAGGTCAGAGTAAAATTTGTGACCTCTTTTTAGCAACATTTTGCTGTTCAGTGCCATCCAGTCAGTTTCAACTTACAAAGACCCTGTATAGGGTTTCCAAGGAGTGGCTAGTAGGTCTGAACTGCCAACCTAGTGGTTACCAGTGCAGTGCTAATCCTACAGCACCATATCATGACTCCTTTCTAGTAAATATATAGACCATAATTTCTTTTGTTTCTAACCTTATGTCTCTTGGTTTCACTCAACTTATTCTTTTCATCTTCATTTTCGTTGTATCAGTTTCTTTTTTTTAATTTAAAATTTTAAATCTTGTTTATGGTACATACAAGGTTAAGTCAAAATGTACTGCTACGGGGGCAAAGGGGTGGAAGAACAAGGAAGACAGGGGAACCATGAGGCAGGTTAGCATGGGCTACATGGGACAGAGGTAAAGTGATGCATGCTCAACTTTGGAACAACAGGGCTTTATGATACAGGGATCGAGGCATAGTCTGAAGAGTGGAAATAATGTTAAGATGCTTGACTGACTTATGAATATTGGTTTCTCTTGCCTACTACTGTAAAACAGACACTTGAGTGGGAAAGAAAGGAATGTCGGGAAACATGACTACAGAAAGCTTGTAAGCCCATCTTCAAGCCTATAACTGATTGGAATATCTAAAAGGGGTTCTAGAACTTGCCCAGTGAAATAGGCTTCTTACGGAGTCTTTGCAGTGTATAAGACCTTAGGTGAAATTCTGAGCCTCATCCAGAACCTTCTGAGGTGGGACATTCCCACTAGAAAGGACAAGTATACATCTTCAAAGAAAGATGAGCAGGAAAAATCCAAAACAAAAATGGCAGTATGATTGGCTACTACAAGAACAAGCAAGCTGTTTGCCGGGGAGCCATCAAGGCAAACAATCAAGTCCCTTCAGGACAAACCTCCCTCCTAGACTGAAACTCAAAAGGAACACATGAGCAGGCATGTCAGCTTCCTGAAAACCACACTGGTCTATTGGTGAGTGGAAGGGGGAAAGGCAGCAATGAAGAAATGGGCTGAATTCAACCACGTTCCATAGATTCCCATTGACCTGGAGATGAGAGAGAAAAGAGGAAGGGCTGGTTGGTCCAAAGTGTGGTGAGACCTTGGGTCTCCTGAGTCCATGAACAAGGATATAGCCACGAAGGGCTAGAGCTGAAGCATCCAGCTGATAAGAAGTGAGGGGAGATGCGCAAGAATGTCCAAATAGTACCTATTTGACCTAGACTCGATGGCTTGATAATCAGAACTCAACTAAAGGAAGATTAAAAAACAAAACAAAACAAAATTTTTTTGATAAAGGAAAACAAGTGTAAATTGCTACGATTTGATGAACTTGACCTATATTTATGGATGTTGTTGTTGTTATGTACCGTGGAGTCGGTTCCGACTCATAGCAACCCTATACAGGGTTTCTGAGGCTGTAAATCTTTATGGGAGCAGAAAGCCTCATCTTTCTCCCAAGGAACAGCTGGTAGTTTCGAACTGCTGACCTTAAGGTTTGCAGCCCAATTCGTAACCACTATGCTACCAGAGCTCCTATTAAAATACCAACTGAGAGGGAAGGAATCTTCACATCAAGTATCAATCCTATAACCTCTTATACGGGGTAGATAAGGACAGGAAACTTAGACATTGGCTACCTAAAATGAGGGGTGATAAAGACACGAAGTGACTGGCTTACAAGTTTTTAAGAGGCAGTTTAGTGTGCAGGGGAAGGTAGAGTCCCTACTGAATAGTTTTCATCTTGTCTAGATGAGTCTGGTGAAGAGATGGGGGTAAGAGTCTTATGATTCAATAGTGAGTAATTGTTACCATGACTAATTGTTACTGCCACAACTGTAAAGGTAGAAGCTGTATAACAAAAAGGGGAGAGTAGTTATTCTTACAGTCCAGGAACAGAGGACCATAGAACCATCAAGGTGAAGAGCACGAGTGGAATGCGGGACCCTATCCAGAGAAGCAGTGACACCAGAGATGGAGGCAGAGAGAGAGAGAGCAGTGAGGACTATAGACTCATGGAAAGAAAAAGGCTCTGTTCTGGCAGCCAAGTGCTGGCGTCCAGGAGGCAGGCTTGCAGAATGTGCCCTTTGGTTGTTTAAATTGTTATATATTCCTGCGTGTTTCTGTGTACATCCCCAACAAAAAACAAAACAAAACAAGCAATAGAAGCAAATATTGTTGAACGATGATGCACAGAGGAGAATGTAATCACTGCAATGAAATGATGGTGTAAAATTGATGTTCTCCCATGTAAACTATCACTCAGTTCACAATAAAAATTTACCACCACCACCCCCCCAAAAAAAGTATTGCTACTAGAGTTCCAATTCATATATGCACAGATCTCTGCAAACAAAAATGTGTCCAAACATTCTCTATGATCAGGTGTGGTGCAGACAAGCTGTCTCAGCTATACACTTGTCTTAGTCTTATTAAAGTGACTTCAAAGAGCAGTCCAATCAAAACAGTAGCTTCAGAGGGTAAATGATGAGCCAGTTAGACTCAAGGCAGAGAGGATTATGGTGACTTATTTTTGTGAATTATAATTTTGATAACTTTTTCTCAAAGGACACAGGCTGATCACAGGAGCTGATGATGAAGACATTTAAAGAAAACTGCATTGGTGAGAAAAATGGGAATTCCCTACCTTTCCTCCCCATCACAACAATGTACCTAGTCTTTCTTCAAGGGTAGCAGAGGCTGTCCTACAAGAACTTATTTGGAAAATCTTACCCCATCCACTCTACAATACTAATCTTGTTGTTGTTAAGTGCCGTCGAGTCGATTCCGACCCATAGCAACCCTGTATAGGGTCTCCGAGGAGCAGCTGGTGAGCTTGAACAGCTGACCTTGCAGTTCAAATGACTTTGTAGTCTGGCGCATTAACCCACAGCACCACACCAGGTCTCCATACTGATCTTAGAGTTCTTTTTATTTCCCAAACTTAAACATTTGAAAGGAACACAATTTGAGTCCCTTAAGAATGCAAAAAATGCAATTTTAACCTGGCACAAATTAAGAAGAGCAAGAGTCTTTAGGAAAGGGTTATTGTGTGCCACAGAACTGGTTCCAATTCATACCATCCCTTTATAGGGTTTCTGAAGCTATACATCTTTGTTGTTGTTAAGTGCTGTCAAGTGGGTTCTGATTCATAGCGACCGCGTATAGGGTTTCTGAGGAGCAGGTGAGTTTAAACCACCGACCTTGCACTTCAAACAGACCTTCTGGTCCAGTGCTTTTTTCTACAACACCACGCCAGTTCCATATTTACAGGAGCAGAAAGTTCCATATTTTTCCCCAAGGAGAGTTGGTGGATTCAAACTGCTGGCCTTTCAGTCAGCAGCCCAATGCATAACCCACTATGCCACTAGTCCTCCTTTGTTGTTGCTGTTATCTGCTGTCCAGTTATTCTGACTCATAGTGACCCCAGACAGGGGTCCATGGAGCAGTTGGTGGGTTCGAATCGCTGACCTAGTGGTTAGCAATCCAGTGCTTATTCTACAGCGCCACACCAGGACTTCATCACTCCTTCAGAGAGATGGAAAAACTACCTTCAGAAGTGTAGAGGATATGTCAAGAAACAACAGATTCACAGTTTGCTAATTCTGTTTAATAAAGGTTTCTATGGCTTTGTAGCAAAACTTACTGTTATTTTTGCATACTTTTTTTTATAAGCCAAATCTGTTCTGAATCAATGCAGTATACAAATAAATAAAACTGTATTTCACCTAACATAAGATTCATTTGCATTTTAAATGAAAAAAATTCATTTGCAATTGAAATTAAAAAAAATTTTTTTTTTTAATTTCATGAATTGGAGCTTCTTCTTGTTGTTAAGTACCATCAAGTCACTTCTGACTCATAGCGACCATGCATAGGGTTTCCAAAGTGCAGCTGTTAACTTTGAACCTTGCGATTCAAACCGACCTTGAGGTCAAGTGCTTATCCTATGGTGAGTTTAGTAAATATAAATCTACCTTGCTAAAAATATTTTTTTAATTATTTTTTTTTAACTACCCAACAAACAACCCATTTTTGTGGAGTTGATTCAGGCTCAGAGTGACCCATCGGACACACTAAAAATGTCCTGTAGCAGACTACTACATCTTTCTCCTGCAAAGCAGCTAGTGGGTTCAAACTGTCGACCTACCATTTAGCGGCCAGGTGCTTACCCACTGCACCACGAGGACTCCTCTTTTAAACTCTTCAAACTCAAAACTCACAGCCACAGAGTTGATTTTGACTCAAAGTGACCCTATATATGGACTTTCCAGGAGCAGATAAGATAGCCTCATCCTTCTTCTGCTGGGTGGCTTGTGGGTGTGAATGGTCAACCCTGGTTAGCAGTCCTGTGCTGATTCCACAGAGCTACCAGGGCTCCTTTTTTTTTTTTTTTTTTTTGATAAAAACTACAGGCCTGTATTATTTTCATAGAAATTACATTTATCCCCAAAATAAAACACATCTCAAAAAAAAAAAACCAACCGTAAAAGAAAATCACAAACCTTCTCCTGGCCCACCACCACCACCACCTTTTGGAGTAATGAGTTCTCGACGAAGTTTAGCAAGACGAGCCTTGAGCAGCCCTAGGTGGTGCGCTGTGGCCTTGTTCCTCTGAGTTCGAGCCATCTGTATGGGAGGAATCACAGTCATAAATCAGAAAGCAGCTTCCAAAGGGACAAAAAAAAAAACCACTCTGGAGTGAATGCTACCCTAACCCTGAGACAATGATTCTTTTTTCGCACCGCCCCCCCACCAAGTCCTACTCATGTCAGTATGCCCACTTTACTGAGCTTCCAGAAGACGGTGGGCATTCATTCTCTCCCTCCCCCAGCTCATTCCCCTCATTACACAGCAAACAACCAAGGACTGAAAAGATGAAGCATGACCAACGACATGTCACAAACTAAATAGAAATCCAACAGCTGTTCCTCTTTTCCTGCTTAGACCTCAGATGCCCACTTTACAGAATCTAACAGAATCTGACTGCCGTTTCCAAGGCTGTAATCTCTAGAAGAAGTCAGCCACATCTTTCTCCCGCAGAACAGCTGGTAAGTCAAAAATGCCGACGTTTGGGTTGGCCGTCAAGTGCTTTAACCACGGCGCCACCCCTGGACGACTTTGTGGTCCTCAGGCAAGAGACTACCACCCAGGTGTCCGTTCACTTCCACGTCCTCTTTCCCTGGAGCAATACTCTGGGGAAGACAATCGGGAGGAGGAGGAAGAGCTTCGAAAGCATGTGAGCCGCTCGGCGCCGAGGTCGGGAAAATTCAGTGCTCCTCAGAAAGCAGGAAGAAAAGATTGCAAGACTACAGCGTCGGGACAGGAGACACATATTGAAGCTAACTACAAGCTCCCAGATTCAGGGGCGCGGAACACGGGCTTAGTTGGGGAGGAATCGAGAGGGAGTAGGGGCTGAGGAACCGAGATAATTGAACTCGGAACACAGGGGCCTTTCTTGACGAGGCTGGGGGGAAAAAAGGAGCCACGCCAACAAAAAAGAGATGTTCGGAAAGGAAGTGGGGCGCCAGCTGCGCCTATTACCTCGGCTTCGATCTCCGCGATCTTGGCTAAGGTGCTACTCATGGTGGCGAGTCCAAGAATGCAAAAACCGCAGCGGCCTCCACGTTATCTTCCCTGAAACACACGCCTGCGTACCTGCCACAACCTCCAGTCGCCACTGCCGTGCGCAGGCGCAGTACTTTCCAATCTCGCGAGAGGTTCACAAGCGGCTCAACGTGAGACGCAAAGAATGGAATGATCTCCTCCCGGCTCAACACACCCCGCCCCGTCCTGGGAGCCAGTGCGGTGTCATAGAGCCCGCGGGAGCTGGGGCCAGAGAGGCCGCCCAGGTCTGGGCTTCTCTGAGCGCGCCCAGGGTCACGCGCAGCTTGGCCACGCCCCACCAGACCTTCGGCGCTGCGCCTGGTTACAAGTCCCGCGTACTTCGCGGTTTCTTGGGCTCATCTCGTACCCTAGGGTTTGGGAGAAAATGTACGTATACTCTCAGTCCTGGGTTCCCTTTTCGCAGCAGCAGGGACACTCCAAGAGGACTCCTTGTCCTCGGGTTAGAGTAGAAACGGATCGTCTCTAGTTCGCCCTCTTGGTAAAAGAAAGTGACCCTTTTCCGTCAATCAAAACATTTTAAATATTATATTTAGGTAACTTCTGTTTGGACTCCTGGTGTGACGCTGTGTGTTCATTCGCCAGACTGCAAAGCCGTTTGAACTTCAAGGTCGTCTGTTTAAGCTCACCAGGTGCTCCTCAGAAACCCTATACAGGGTCTCTGTGGGTCGGAACCGACTCGACGGCACTACACAACACCACCAACAACTTCTGTGTAGCCCACAATAACTGTGTTGAATAAATTAATGTATGATCGAATGAATAATTCCCAGAGAACCAATACTTGGTACACATCTTGTAACAGCCCAAAATTGAAGTATTGTTTACTATGATTAATAGTAAATGGATTTGAAGTAAATAATGATCCTAGAAGTACAAGTACAATTACTCATATATGTGGTCTGACGAGGAAGAATGTGGAGTACATACTGTTAAATAAATAAACAAGTAGCACAACTGCACCTGCCTATGATATATCATTTACATCGTTTTAAGTTTTTAGATGCACGTGAAACGGAAACAATTCAACAGCAGTGGGTGTTTTCTTTTATGAACATGAAAATGCATTATTTAACGGTCTCCATAAAAAGATATATATCAAACTTAACAGTGAGATGGACTGCAAGAAAGCCTCCCACTTTTTATTTTACATAGTTCTATAGTTTAAATTTTTTTTACAAGAGAAATATATTCTCCATATCTACTTGTGTGATACATGGGTATGTTCATCTTGTAAAGAACAACAACAACAAAAAAAAACTGGCATGAGTAAGGGAGAGTAAAGAAGAATTGATGACTTTGATTTATGCTGTTGGCAAAGAATATTGAATATGCCATTGGCTGCCAAAAGAACAAACAAATCTGTCATGAAAGAATTGCAGCCAGAATGTTCCTTAGACGTGAGGATGGAGAGACACTTCATCTGATGTACTTTGGACATGTTATCAGATGAGACCAGTCCCTAGAAAAGAATATCCAACAGAAGGGCAAAATAGAGAGCCAGAAAGAGGAAGACCCTCAGTGAGATGGATTGACACAGTGGCTGCAACAATGGGTTCAAAAATAGCAACAGCAACCATTGTGAGGATGGTACGGGACTGACATGGGGGGTGGGGAGGGGCAGAGAGTTCGGTTTGTTGTACATAGGGTCGCTATGAGTCAGAGCTGAAAATCTTTACTGGAGCAGAAAGCCTCATCTTTCTCTTGTGGAGAACCTGGTGGATTTGAACTGCTAACCTTGTGGTTCAAAACCCACCACCAGAGCTCCTTAACAATAGCATTGGTGGTGGTGGTAGTAGTGTGCCATTGAGTCAGTTGAGACTCATAGCATCCCTTTATAGGGTTTCTGAGGCTGTAAATCTTTGTGCGAGCAGAAAGCCTATTACTTGTGTGATAATGAGCAACTTCAAAAGACTCCTCTTCCCTGAGATGTGAAGGGGACACCAGACTACATACAAGCTATTTGCTGCTCTTAAACTTCTTCCTGCAGGATCAATGAATTTTTGTTTATAGATTGATTGATTCATTGAAAGTTAAGCAGGTCAGGCTTAACCCACACAGCTGGCCTCCACCCAAGCTTAGGAGGGCAGCTAATTTATTTAATTTGCAAGAAAATTCCAATTTTCCAGAGACAAAAAAGGGAGATTTATCAGGCAAAATGGAGAGAATGAGAAGAGGAAAGCTGTTACTGAACAGTCCCAAAGGACCCAGGACTTTTGTTCTTCATTTCTTTAACCTCAGCCTTTTCATAAATAAATTAAGGGGTAATGAGGTAATTAGATTCCACACCATCAGTAATGGATGATGAAGAAGAGGAGAGGAAGTCCAGCTGGAATGGGATATAATCAAAGATCAATCTTAAAAGACAGATAAAATCAAATTAGCGGGCCTTTCCTATCTTGGCATACTTAAGGAATTGGCTGAGGATATCAAGGGCATCACTGCTCTGTAAGTAGGTTCCCCTTAGCAAATCTGCAGCTAAGTTAATCATGTGATCCCTCAAAGGTACCCCAGGACCCCCTTTAGAAGCCCCAAACTGTCAATAGTGCAACTAAAAGCAAGGCTCATTCTCACTGTTCCAGGGCTGGAGGAAGAACTTGAAACAGGATATAAGGTGTGCAACTTTGGATGAGAGAAAACCACTGGAAGAATTAATTTTGTTTAGGGATTTCTTTAAATATTTGGTTTCAAGGTAAGAAAACACCAAAACCAAAGCATGAGAATTTCTCTCGTTGATATTTATTATGGACATTTTCATGGGGGCATCCAGAATTTTGTGGTAAAATTCTCATCCTGTTATGCGGAGACCCTGAGTCCTAGTGTGGCGCCATAGGATAAAGCACTTAACAATTCAGCACTTAACAACAACAATAGGGGGACCCAGAGCTTTAGTGTGGTGCTATAGAATCAGTGCTGGACTGCTAACTCCAAAGTCAGCGGTGCAAACCCACCAGCTTCTCCTCTGAAACCCTGTTGTTGTTATTAAATGCCGTTAAGTCGATTCTAATCCATAGCGACCCTGTATAGAGTTTCTGAGGAGCATCTGGTGAGCTTGAATCGCCAACCTTACAGTTCAAACGGCTTTGCAATCTGGCACATTAACCCACAGCAACACACCAGGACTCCCCTCAGAAACCCTAGACAGGATCATTATGGCACTTCACAACAGCATTGGGAGACCCAGGATTGATTCCTGGTCAATGCACCAATCTCTGTCAGTGGTTTGCAGGTTTGCGGGGTCACAATGAGTCAGAACTGACTCAATGACCCTTAAAAATCTCAATGACGCTTAAAGAGTCCTGGTGTGGTGTACTGGATTGCTAACCAAAAGGTTGGCAGTTCAAATTCACCAGCCGCTCCTAGGAAACCTCATACAGGGTCACTATGAGTTAGAATAGACTCGAGGGCACGTCACAACAACAACAATGATGCTGAATAGGTTTTAGCAGAGCTTCTGGACTAAGACTAGGAAGAAAGACTTGAGGAACTACTTCTGAAAATCAGTCAGTGAAAGAAAACTTGATGGATCACAATGGCCCGATCAGGTGGATGTTGCAAGGTTGGGCAGTATTTTGTTCCATTGTGTATGGGGTCACCATGAATTGGTGACCAACTCAAGGATAGTTAATAGCACAATAAATAGAGAGCTTCAGAATTAGAACCACATACCTGAGTCTGCCTGAGAGAATGAGAAAATTAAGTTAACAATAATTCTAGGGGGAAAAAAGACCCCAAATTCTAACATATTTTTAGAGACTCCTCTATTACACCTTAACAGTACAAAGACAAAATCATCCAGATAAGAGAGACCATCATCATGAAACCATAATGGAGTCCAAAGGAGTTATGTTGTTGTGAAGTGCCATCAAGTTGGTTCTGGTTGATAGCAACCCTGTATAGGTTTTCCAAAGAACGGCTAGTGAGTTTGAACTGCTGACCTTGTGGTTCAAACCTACCTTGCAGTTGAGTGCTTATCCTACAGTGCCACACCAGGACTCCAAAAGAATTATTGTTGTTGTTGTTAAGTGCCATTGAGTCGGGTCCGACCCATAGCGACCCTGTACAGGGTTTCCGAGGGTGTAAATCTTTACGGGAGTAGAAAGCCTCATCTTTCTCCCGCGGAGCGGCTGGTAGTTTCGAACCACTGACCTTAAGGTTCGCAGCCCGATTCGTAACCACTACGCTACCAGAGACAATAGAAAACAAAGGGAATCACCACAAAATCATGATTGACATTACTGTCTCAGGTGGGACTAAGGGTCATCATTGAGATGCATACATGTTGCAGACCATGTGTAGACTATACAGGCAGCAGGCTCTGAGGAACAAATGAGGCCACTGGCAGTCATGGCAAATTGTTTTTAATCTTAGTATTCGGTTATGTTTATAATTAAATGCAGACATGAGCCCTTATTATCCACAGAGAAATATTAGAACCTCCTAAAGCTGAGACTAAAGGTTTCAAAGGTCAAGCCTTTCTCCAAAGGATTAACTAAAAATATCTTAGCTACTTCGCAGTTCTTTGTTCTACAGACAAAAAAGCCATTTTCCCTGAATCTCTCCCAAGTGCAGGTTATTCAGCCAAGTTCCTGAAAACCTGGCTTAGGAAGCTAAAACAGCGGGACTCCGCCCAAGCCTTTTGTCCTTCCCTCTTACCTTGCCCCAACTGAGCTCAGGGGCTATAGATATGTTAATTGAGCCTGAGAAACTAAGTTGCTGGCCTGGGATTTGAACCAGTGAAGTACAATGTAAAGTTACCTGAATGTCTGGAAAATTACTGATGTCAGCTGTACCTTGTCTTAGTCCCTCCCAGCTTGGTTTGAAGCTCCTCCCCTAAATAAAACAGAAGTCCAGGTCGGCCCAGGTGTGCATTACAAGTTGGAGGGCATGCAGTAAATATTGCAGGGCAGTGAGTTGCTGCCTGCAGAGGCCACAATGCCTGTAGTCCCAAGTCTGCCCAC